CACAGCACATGGGAAACGGGAATGGTAGCAAAAAAATTACAACCGGAAAAAATTTCCCGCGCACGGAAAAAATCCCATAGGGCTATGAAGCTATATACACCCCCCCTTGGCCCCGAGCACGACCTCCCCCCCTCTGATAGGAGTCTCCCAACGTTGGGGATAACGCGCGTGATAGAGGATAGATCAGCTGTCAAAGAAAATTTCTCAGGCCAAACACCACCCCCTCTATCACGCGCCCAGATAAGCCCCTTCCTCCTCTCGCTGAAAATCCCCCACGTGGGACGTGTTGGTGGAGATATCATTAAGCGCGGTATAGCACCACATTCAAGGGCGGTGGAAAGAGGCTTTGCGAACGGGGCACGTGCGCGACATTCGCACCAGGGCCCACCTGATTTGACGGCAATGCTGCTGTGACAAACACGACAAGCTAAACTACTCTATTATTTTTGAGAGCGATCCTGCGCCACAAATTGTCCTGAATTACACCCATAAATCACACGTCCTTGGCGTCCTCACCACGCACTTTCGCGCAAAAGTGGTACCAACGCGGAACTATTGCTACCCTGTCATTATCGAGAGTGGGCGCTGTGGCTTGGGAAGGGCATTTTGCATTTTCGCTGCTTTCTTTGCTAGGTTCTGTTGCAGTACGCGTTTCACCCTGAAGGGAACCTGTAAATTCGTGTCAATTGTAAACAAAGCTACTGCTACTGCATAGCTTCACAGGAACTTACAGATCTCAACAGGAAGGACCGGCAGAGATCAATGGGAACCAGCAAAATGACGCCCACCAAGCCGAACCCCACCCATAGATGTACCCACCGGATAATCGTAATTGTGCCTTTGAAGGCCTGGAGAATAGAAGTACTAACCCTTGTAAAGACTGCGAAGCACTGCCATGACCTGCTCGTCGTGGTAACGATCCACTACTTCGATTCTGGTACTGCATGGCCAGCGAATGAGTGTTACGGTCAAGTTCCAGTGCAGAACTGTCGGCCGGACTCTCGCAAACCGGAAACACCGTTCGGGGACCGCTGAAATAAAGATATTGATCGATAGATTTTGAACACGAAACAACTGGAAACGTGGAAATAGTAAACTATGGAGCACTTTTATGTGAGTTTTATTTATTAAAATGGTGCTAAGCGAAAGCAGAAGAATGAAAGTAGACTTTTGACCGATGCTTCGACCTTTAAGGGTCGTTCAAGCTGTACCTAAAAGCGGAACCGATCAATATCAAATGCTTCACTCTTTACATCGCCATGACATACACTACAATAAAAGGCACTCCTTTTTGTAAGTTATCTTTATAGTCTGCGTGAATTCTCGATCTTAGTTGATCCAATTTCTCAGCCTCACTGGCTAAGACAACCAACTGGGGCAGAGGAGGAGAATCTTGGAGCAGTTCGGCTTGAGTGGGGCATTTCGCACCATCCCTAGCCCATTTGGCTTCTTAGACGTGTTAAATCCTGCTAACAAGTAGGCCTCATTTAGGTGAGACCTGCGAACTCCTGTGAAACCACGAATGTTGCGAATGAACCGCCATGGTTACAAGAATTTACAAAAGACTCCACGAGGTGGCCTTACAGATTTCGCTGAGTACCTGTTGCCCTCACCAAGCCGAACGCTTATGAACTTTCTAAAGGGAATGGAGTAAAACAGGCTGTTTAGTTAAGATCACGTAGCCCCAGACGGGAACTAAAACAGTGGACCAAAAATCTCAGTGTACAACCGAGAAAGAGGAGTTTCTACACTTCCAGATACAAGCTTTTCTTTATCGATTAGTTGAAGCGCGCGTCCTTTACGTCGACGTGACATACACCACAGGCGGACAGCCTTCACTTACAGCTACGGTTGAAACAGATCCAGTTTTTTATGCGTGCAAATAAGATATGACCCCACCTGGATATGATCTCGGCACCGTTCACTCGAGCGAACGTCTTCGACAATAACGAGTCATTCGAGTTCTTCTCACCATTTGCTATCGTTATCATTGTCACGTCACCATTCAGCACCGGTCGTGTGGAATTACTGTAACGCATTTTTTTCAGCTCAGTATAATTCACAAGTCTGCAAAGATAGCTCGGAGGGGGGGGTACCAACCCTCCCCACCGCCCCAACCATCGCTATGACGCGATTAGACCGGGTACCAGCACACATTCCAGCACTGGGAAGGTTTCTGCCGCATAGGACCGACCCTGTTGCACAACCAATGGATCATCTTACCAATCTTTCCCAAAAACTTGTCGCCGGGGGGGGGGAACTGTACTTGTCCGATAAGACCAGCGACCAAATAAGAACCCCTTGGAGTTCCCAAGCGCAGGGAATTCTCGACAAGGTGTGGCCATACCATCACACATACGATCACACATACGACCACCCGGGATGTACCTCCTCCCCAAGAACAGAGCACGTGCTGCCTGTGCGGGAAACATTCGCAAAATATGACCCTCACAAGCTCAAGCTTCCTCCTTCTGTACCCCCCCCCCCTCTCTCCCAAACTTCCTCGTTCTGTAGGCCCTTCCTTCCCCATCCTGCCTACCATCTTACTCCTTCACCCTTTTTTCCAACAGAATTCAGTTTTCTTTCCCAAAAGAGAGCCGTCGAGCGGGGGAGGGGTAACCACGAGGCAACTACTGATATCAAAGGTTTTGGGTATATTGGACAGTGACTGTTTCGCTAACTGTGAGTATAGCACGGTACCACAGTTATGATAAGGGAAAAATCAACAGCCGGGAAAAATTCTCGCGCTCGGAAAAAAATTTTAATGTGGGCGGTACTACCCCTTGTCGAGCGACCAATGGTGGTCTCCGACCGCGTGGATAGCCCATATCAATAAATTCTCAGGCCAAATACGACCCCCCTCCCTCCAGCGACCAAATACCACCTATTCCGCTGGGAACTCCCAGCGTATGACGTGCTCTGGCGAAGAAGCATCCACTGCATGCTAAAGCCGCGCTAATCTGAACCCCAATAGAGAAGCAACTTACCCAACAAGTGCCAGAATTCGGTCGATTACCCGCTTGTTGTAGCCTCGTCCAATCGCACGCAATGTGTCGATGTGAAGCCGAAGAGCTGAAGGCCACGCCTCGCCGACACCTGAAAAGGCGGATTGGGCTTTTCTCTGAATGGGCATTGAAAACTGGTCAAGGAAGAAACTCGGGCACGAATCTAATATAAGTCCGCAGCTTGCAACGTTACTTGTTAGGAAGTGCACGACAACACGTCTGATAAGGTTCAGAATGTCCTGACAAGTAGCTGAAGCACGTGTGATCACAGGAGGACCGTAGGATCTAACAAATGGGCTTGGAGCGGTTATTATCCTGCCCCCCCCCTCCTCTCACAAAAACACGGATGCAGTGGAGAATCGAACAAATAGCTCTTGATTTTCTAAAACGGTATGAGCTCAATGATGCGGAATATTGGAGACAATCTTCTATGTGGCGCCGTTTGGGAGCATTTTCGCGTATGAAGAAGACGGCTTAATCGGAGAATGGGAGGCCGTATAATCTGCGCTAAAACCCCAGCCAGGCCTGCTTGGTTATGATGCCTGATGGTATTAGGGCACGTCGTATGGGAGGGGGGGGGGGGGTGACCTCGAGAGTCATATATGGTAGCGGAAGGGAGAGGTCGTATTTGGTTAGAAATTTTTTGTGATACTTGCCTTTTCCTGTCTCACGTGCTGTCTACCACAGGCAGGGATGTGGATTGGAGGGGTGGAGGTGATCTGATGACTATTGCCTCGTGCAAGTACGGGATCTGATCTCCAAGTAATGGGAATAAGCCTGGAACGGCTCGAAATCTGCAGTGTGGGAGTGCTAATAGGAGGCCGTAATGAGCTCATTCCCAGGTGTACGCCATATAGCCGCTGTCCCCTTGGTCCTAACTGGGATTATGGCAAAGGCTCCTCTGATAATAGGGCTAAAAATCCAGAACTTAGCTTTCCACAATGATCGCACCATATGTTGCGGAAATGTCTTTCCTAACCCTTATCCCTTCCCCCCAAATTTCCTGTCAGAGTAAAGCTGGCACAAAGACAGCAAAGGGGAAAAATCAAAATCAAAAAATCAGAATAATCTTACAAATATAACCCTCTCCTTCCCCAGTAGCCAGCAGGGGACTATTCCGTTGTGTATTACTTAATGTTAGGCAGCCCCCTTCCCAACTGGCTAAAGTATTCATTAAGCCCATCTCGCCACAATAGGCAAGCAGACTCTGGGTGTCGTATGAACGATACGAGAAACCAATATTTTCCCCCTAGGCTTGTCCTTCCGTTGACCAATCACGAGAACACGCTCGTCCAAGTGACTCTCACCATTGCAGCCACGGTTCGTTAAAAGCCATGGCACAAAGTGGTCACACGAAGTAAACCGACAGTTAGGTTTCAGACCTTGCTCGAAAGAAAGTAGGCGCTTCGTCGCGCATTTTCCACACAAAGCACCTTAACCGCTTAAACAAGCTGCAAATTCTCTTTCCTACCCCCGTCTTTCCCACTATCGACGGTGGTACTGTTATCGCCTGATTTATGTAGTGTAACTGACATGAAGCGTTGCTATGGTTGTATGAATATGTAATCGCAGTCGTATCCATCAAATGTCTACACATCGGCGAAAATCTCCAAAAATGCTCGTCCAGTGCCTAGCAGAAGAAAGGTTTTCTGCGGGTTTTATCCGTTTGACTTTGCTTTGCCGTTGTTTTTACTCTATATAGTACCCCTGCTAATGTTTTTGAGCAAGAGCAATTCATCGTGCCTTATGCTTTTGAGAGGCGGATCCTAGCATTCGACCAGCAATTAGTCACCACAATAGCCGGGTCCGCTTCTGACGAGATATGCTAAGGCAAACCTTCAATTTCCGTGAGGATCGATGACAAAAGCTGCTCGTCGTCCGTATGTTGTGCACTTCGTACAAGTTCTTCCAACACATCAGATGCTAACGGATGAGAAACTCGTCCGATATTGCCCATGATCTGGAAACTTTATGGTCTTACGAACAAGCGACTAAAAAGCAGAAAGGCATCAGAAGGAGAAAGTCGACTTCGTTCGTTAAAAGAAGGGTCAAAAACGACATTATTAGGTCCCGAACGCGCAAACTTGCTCCCCTTATGATCCAGCTCCCAAGTCGCATTAGCTATGGCGAGATTGATGGCATTAGTGTTCCGAATGCACTTTTTATCGTTATAAGTCACTGATAACGCCGATTGGAACGGCTCGATCTTATCTATATCTATACCAATCAATCAACTGATCGCTGGCATGATGCCAGCGCTAGCAGGTAAACCCTCCCATAGTTCTCACCAAATGAAGACCTTGACTTCGTACAGGGTTTTTTTGTTTTTTTTTATCTAGTACGGTGCAATTTTCAGCAATTTTGTATCAATAAATCATGACCCGAAGATCGGCAAGGGATAGGTGAGGGGAAAATCCTTCCATGTCCTAAACGCCTGAGAGATTTTGTACCCTTTATGGCGCCGGAACTTATGATAATGTTGCCGAGAATGAAGATGGGGTAAAGGACAACGTGCAATAAATACGGAAATGGAAGAAGCTAATGTTTAGGGCACAGTTCACGTTACGAAGTGGGAGGAGTCGGGCCTTCATTGTGCCAGCCGTAATGGTGCGCCCTCCTTGCTAATTAAAATGAAGGGCACGCCAATGAAAGTGTATGGTAGGTACAGTAAGGTAGTCAGGCCGCTTTCGAAAAACTGCCATTCACTTGTTTTGCGAAGATTACTATTATACTCCAGTCCTGAAAGTTCTTGGGGGAGAGCCAGACGGCAGTGATACCGCGCCCCGCCCACTTCAGGATTGTCTGCGCCCTCCCGTCGAAATAGTGTTCAGTCGGTCACAATTAGGCCGATGAGATCACCACCAAAAAAATAAGCGTGAGCAAGCTTCGTTATTCGCTTCCCCCTCCACCACCATGTCGCCGAATCCAGGCATCTGTTCAACAGCACTGAACGCCAATATTTAGTATGAACTGGCAGAGAAGGGGGGGGCTGCAACGAAGCGATGAGTAATAGCTAAAATCGTTTAAAAGCTTAGTGTTCGTTGTGGAACAGGCAGAGTTGGGTCTCTATCGGGGCCCCTCATTAGTGCGTTCTCCTGCTAATGAAGAAAAATGAAGGATACTTCAGTGAGTAAGCAGCAATTACAGATCTGACTCCGCCCAAGTGATCAGAATGGAGTGTTGGTTCCAAGGATACCACAACAAAGCGGGCACAAAGTGGGACAGCGAGCTCGAGTGAGAGGCATTAAGAGACATTGAGCGAAATATAAACGAGAAAATTCTACCTTGTAGATGGTGGCGAGATTTCCGTTGAACGCCGGCTGCTGGCATGCTTTTGACAAGGTGGGAAGAAACGGTGCGAGCGTATGAGCTCGACCTTGTGATATCAACGACATATAAATGTTCAGTACTGCTGTGCAGGTGGACGGTGACAATAGGTACTGATCGAATTGTGATAGGTACGGTGTCAATAGCTGAAATCACACGCGTCTTCGAGAGCATGTTCCGCGTTGACATCGTGGGCGGAGACAGTCAACTACTGTGCCTTCCTCACTGACTTGTCCTTCTGTTCACTGTCATGCAAGAGGCTGGCGCCAATGAGGACAGCATTAGGGGTTGACTGTCCCCATCCACATTATTAATGTGGACTAAGCTTTTAGTTTCCAGAAACCAATCAGCAAGAAAGGAGAGCTAAACTCACATCTGGCTTCTCATTAGCGATCATACTGGCCAACTGGAGGAGCGAAAGCTTCTCCGAGCAGTCAGCATCCCTCAGTACTGACAACAATTGTGGTATATGAGCATGAAACGGTTCACGATTGTCCGCATAGACTTGTGGTAGTACTCGTAATAATGCATGATTACCTGAAAAGGAAAGCAAACTTACCACGTAAGATATCTGTCTTGGGGGGCAGTTAGTACGACAAAGGCGGATAGACCGATGTAGAACACTCCATCTCGCCTAATTAAAGTCTGCGCCGCTTCGTTGTTCTACTATGCCACGCTTGATTATGATTTGCAATCCCCTTAGCTGACCGCTTCGCGACCTCGCGCGCCTGTATCCCATAAGCCGCACGCCTGGTAACTTTTTGAAGCATGCTTTTTCGAATTCCCCGGTCAGCAACGCGATCGGAGAGCGACTGAGAAGCCAAATGAGCCGAATTCTGAGCTGGCCCACATCTTTGCTGGCTTATTGGCGAGACGGAGCAATAGTATCGTAGAATGCCGTTCCGTCCGCGCGGCAGTCAGCGCGACGTTTCCTAAATTTGCACTACTTCACCTGGAGCATGCGATTTCATTAGACAAGGATATTGGAAGACATTTATGTCTACTTTTATTCATACACTGTCTATTGTAGGCCAATACCACCTAAAATCGTCGTCATAAGCGGGCGCGACGTCGCACGCGACGCCCACTGGCGCGGCGAATTACGATTCTCTTGCCGCATACCCGGCCTCAGTGGCTCCAATCGAATCTCACAAAACACTCCATTCTTAGAAGAACGCAGACGAACCGAAAATCGGGCTACTGCCCTCCCCAAGCGCGCTAATGACCGCTAGTTTAGTGTCACCCTATGTGCAACCATGCATGCAACTACTTGCACGTAGAGTTTCTAATGCTGACCCTGTCCTAACCCTTCCTATGGTTGCAAGCATAACGGGGAACCCTTAGCATAATTTTGATGTAGAATTTCAGCTCACCATTAATAATATAGGCGATGATCTGCAGAGCATAATGTGACAGTGCTTTGCCGTTATGAATGGCGGCAAGTGAAATATAACTGGTGGTATTGCGGACCAGCTCCTGATTTGACGATCCAACAGCTTTCATCGCTACAGGCAACGTCAACGTCATTACTGAGCGCTTCGCGTAGTGCTGAAAAAAAACAGATGACGAGGAGGAACGAGAATTACCAAAAAAATTTAAAAAAAAAAGGAAGGAGAATTGAGGAATGAAAAATGAAGAAAAAAAACTCGGAAGGATTGAATGAGGCCGGTCTTAGGGCGTTATAGGAAACGTGAGGGCAGAATTAGGCCACCCTTTCTCCACTTGTCTGGCGCCTCCTGCGAGACACTGTCAGGCCCGTGGGGGTGCTACGGCCAACGAGGCTCGCAGACATACGGAGAACGTGGGCCCAGTTCCCGCCCCTTCGAACCTTACAAGGTGGCTTCCACGCCAATTAAAACAAAAATAGTGAAGTAGATGGGAGTCAAGGGAAAGAGATAAGCGTCAAGATAGATTGGATGGAGGTGGTGAAAAAGGGTGAGGAGGGGGGGGGTGGTGACGGCGAGTAGACCATACCAATTCCAGCTCGCCTGGGCCTTCTTAGCGGCCTCAATCGGGCTGACCGAACGTTATCTCGGTGACAGCGAGCAAACAGGCAGAAAATGTATGTGGCTAATCTGAGGCTCCCCCCCCCGCCCCAAAAAAATACTTTGAGGACACTAACAACAGGGTGTGAACTGAGTAATGCGCCACACATCCAACCTGATAGTGTGGAAGCGATTGAGCACACACACCCGGGTTTCTACAACAAAACCTACTGTACCAGCCAGTATGACCTTTTCCGCCCATACCCAACTCCAGTCACAATCTTCATCCCATTCCAGGGCTACTGGCTTGCCTTAGCCTCGCTTTTTGCACTTGATGACCTCTTTCTTTTCGTCAACAACTTAATGTGGACGATTTCTCACTGCGGGAGTCCCACACTGTCGCCCGGGTGTTCTTTGCTCAAGGTCAGCTAACCAGTAAGCATAAAAATTGCACAAAAAGAGGGATCAGTCGACAGAACAAAGCTCGAAACGACCGATGAAAGCGGCCAATAGGACACTACGAAAATCGGAATGCTATTCAGAATAAAAGGAGCAAGAAAACAGGACAACAGTTCGCCTGAGGGGGGGGGGGGGGGG